CCCCAAAACCCCAAAACCCCAAAACCCCATGTATGTAATATTCAGAAATAGCTTAGGAATTCTAAATCTATAATTAATTTATTTTCCATTAAACATCAGTATTCATCCTAATCTTAATCATATTATTCAAAACTTTGCTCATGAGCCCCTCCTCCATTACCTTCACCCTGTGACATTAGTCTTGGTTAGCTCTAAATCTAGTGCTCTTCTGAATATTGCTACTACTATTGATCTTGTTCATATTCTTATGATTGAAAATAACTCTGTTATGATTTTTAACTTCTTAATTATTACTATGATACCCTTTATTTTTCAGCGTTTGCCATTTCATACTCATCATTTTCATCATATAATGCGCTTTTAACATCATTAGCAAGCTGTTGAATGTTGTCAAGGTTATTTTCAGCATATGAAAGCTAAGGTTCTTGGGATATCCTGCCTTAAGAAGCTAGTCTTCCAACTTTATTACTAGTTTTTCTTTCAAAATGGGTACTCTGATCTACTTCTCCCTCAGCATCTTCCATTATTCTTCTTTACTAGATCCCAGATTTATTTGACAGTGGTGGATTTATTAACTATTCTCTAGAGCCTTACTTCAAAGGTGCTAATTACTTGGCATTTGCACTGTTTGAGTTGATTGTCTTTCCAGAGAATTATGACATCACATCATATTATGAGTTTTACAGATTTTTGGAGTCTAGCGGAGGTAAATAGCTAGACTAACTATTTGCATTTTGTAATTTACTTGGAGGAGGATTCCCTCTCGATCTCTAAGGAGTACCTTTTAGCTATCCAAGTGGTGCTTTTTTCTAGCCCAGAGGTGGTTGTTATTATTGCATCATTTGCTAGTTACTTATCATGTTTTATTATTGTCTCTAAGCAAGTTATGTACCTTCAGATCTTTGTATTTTCTGCTTTAATTGCAAAACCTCTTTCTCTTTTGACCTAAGTTAGAGCTGATTGCCCTTTACCATCTCTTTAAGTACTTCTATCTCACTTGTTTTATCAGATAACTCCTTTTGATACTACGCTAATTGCTCAGTTTTGAATTTTTCTAGCCTTTGCTTCTATACCTTCAGTTATTGATTTATTTATTCATTTCACTATATAAGTTTACTAATATTTTCCAATCTCTACTCTAACTCATCATTCTTAGCTTGAATTTAAGTTTAAAGCTACGCTATGCTTTACTCATGCTTTGTATTTGTATCTTAAGACGTTTTTAGTTTAGCATGCAAATCTTTTATATCTTTTTTGCTATTAGCAACCTCTTTTTGTAACTCCTTTATTTAGCCTGCCTTCATTCTTTGATCTTCCTCTCGATTAGTAATATCTTCTTGCATCTACTCGATCTTATTATGATAGCTTTTAATCTCTTCATCCATGACATCAATTTTCTGATACAATTCATTATTCTCCTCTACCATATCTGGGTACTCTGCCATGATCTGAATATCTAAATTCAGTAAATCTAAGTGCAGCTTTGCCTTAAGTACACCAAACTCCTTATTTTTAGCTTCCAGTTCTTCTCGTAACTCAATAATGCAATCAGTATGCTCCTATAGCTGCTTTCTTGTAAACTACATCTATTCAACTAATCTTTTATCTAGATCATCTCGCTCGTCTTACAAATTAGTAATACTATCTTAATGCACTTATAAATTTTTCTCTGACTTCTCAAGTGAATTATTTAACTCTTCTATTTACTCATCTTAACTTGCAACCTTCTTGCCTAGACTTTTAATTGAAGCATTTTTTTCATCAAGACTCTCTTACAGTTCTTCTAATTATTAGCGCAAATCTGCGATTTCTTATTTCTACTTGCTTATAACTGTTTCGCTTTGAGTTTATAGTTATTGCTGTTACTTTCCTTTTAATTGAGATGCCTATGGCTTTTTCTTGGCTGATTAGTCTTCATCTTCATCTTCCTCCTCTTCTTCATCATCCTACTCTTCTTCCTCTTCTTCATCTGAATCATCATTTTAAGGTTTCTTTTTAGGAACTGGTTTTTACGCAGGTTTCTTCTACGGACTCTCATCACTTTCTTCTTCTTCATCATCATCTTCCTCATCAGAGTCAGCCTACTTTGGAGGTGGCTTTTTAACTGGTACTGGTTTCTTCTTTGGCTTTACCTCTTCCTCAGATTCCTCCTCTTCTTCCTAAATTTTGAATTATTTGCTTAAATAAAATTGATACAGATTCTCTAGGAGTTTGCTCTTCTTCTGAGTCACTCTAAAAATCAATATAATACGCAATTGAAAATTACCATTGTTTAAAGGAATTTTAAATATTTATTTTGATTTAATGATATTGTTTAATTATAGAGCAAATTATGATTATTTAACTTCTAGGGGTTTTGGGGTTTTGGGGTTTTGGGG